AATGAAAATACCCGGGAGGAGTCCGTAAAACTCATGGGAATCAGAAGTAAATCATATCCCGATCATTTACGATGATAGCCGAACGACGCTTGGGATGCGGGCGCCCGCCTCGATACGCCAGGAAAGTAGTGTTGGGTTAGACATGACATTAAAACGAGTTTGAGGGAGTACCTCATTTTTTAAAAATGAGGCAGTGTACAATGTTCTACTTCAAACGAGGTGAGGTAAGTGGTAAGAATGTTTGCACCTACGGCAATGACTTGTTGAATTCGAAGCAGTGTGACATGAGTGAAGCTGTGACATGAGGCTATGACATGAGGTGAGGTGTGAAATGGACCATTTGTATAACATGACGTGTTGTGGCAAACTAACCAAGGGAGTGGTACAAACGAGTTGCCTCGTATATGAGTAACACAACACTACCGGAAAGCCGCGTGCGATATTCTCTGAATATATATACCTATATTATATTATACTTAATATAATCAGAGAATGTCGAATGAACCCATGTTTATTAAGGTATATTATGTATTCATTCGAAAAGCTTAGAGCATAAATATAGTAAAATAGGTACAGTATATATAGGTAAAACATGATCGGCTTTACTCGATTCCACGTCGACTTAATGAAAATCACTCTGTTTTAGATATCACCATAAAGCTTAGATATGCTCTAAGCCATAAAGTTCAAATCAATACTTTTAAAGTTGTATGTAATTAGTACCCAATCTGTAAAAAGGCATCTCTAGATCTGTTGATATCAAAAGATTTCCTATTATTTTTATAATTATGTCACAAAAACTTAGAATAATAACGCACAAAAGTATATAAATCACAATTTCTTGGGTGAGAAAAATCCATGAGACTTATTCGTTCTCTACTTATGATATTTTTCGATAACTGAAAATTAACAAATATAAAGTTTCACAATATGAATTACTTGGTAGTCCGAGTAGTCCGTCAAGAAAAGTGTCGAATAGTAATAGCCGGTAGGTGTGTACTGTACTCTCGTAGCACAACGACAAGCTGTGAGAAAACTAGCGTTTGGAGTGCTTGATGAATTATTTTTTTTATAAAAAATAAACGCACATTTGACTTCCATCTCACCGATGGAAAGTGATGATGAGGTCGACGATGTAGCATGCACACCTAATTAATGCCTATTCACTCTCACCTTGAAAAGGTCCAAGTTATAGCGTACGGGGAACAAGTCTGCAGGTAGGGAATTCCACTCTCTAGCCGCTCACCAAATATGGACGCGAAACGCTTCGTGCGAATTCTGGGAATATCCACGACATAGGGGTGGAATCCCAGCCCACGTCTAATCCCCCGATGATGGAAAGGGGAAGGCGGAATCAAATTATGCAATCCCATCGTACACTCTCCGTGATATATACTGTAGAATACCGATAAGCAGGCAACTTCACGGCGGTGTTCAAGGCTCTGCAGGTTCGCCTGAACTAATCGACTCACCTATAAGCCTCTTGACACGCTTGTCTATTAAATCCAAGGTGGCCAGTTGGTGTTTAGCAAAGCCATGCCATAAGTGGCAGTAGTACTCCATACACGACCGGACTTGTGCTTGGTACTACGGAAGTAACGCCTTACCTTGGAAAGGCTGCCAAGCTTCCTGACTGCATTTTTGGCCATGGATTCAATGTATATGCCGAATTTCAATTTGGACGACAGGTACATTCCAAGCAGGTGGGACGGTCGGCTATCGGTATGGATACATCACGAAAAGTCGGTGAAAGCGACTCCGTTTTGTGGAGCATGGACACGCCTGCGTTTTGATAGCATTAAATTTGACAAGATTGGCATCGCCCCAATCGGAGACTGCCTTAAGTGTCAAATTCAAACGACTAACCATGGACTCTCGACAAGACTGGACTTCTTCTCCACTGACTCTTGCATTGGTCAAGTACCTACCTGTCCACAACTGTGCCGTCATTAGCATACCCAAAGGCTCCGGAATTGGAATTAACATATCATTCATATGCAGCAGAAAGAGAGTTGCGAACAGTACAGAAACCCAGGGAAACTCGATCTATCGCCCGATGTTCGGAAGAGTAGCCTTCTAAGACCTGGAAACTAGAAATTCCGTGTTGATCCTCGAGATTGAAAAAATTTACGGGGCATGGATTCAGTGTATAGGTACCTATATACTAAATCTATGGTACTAGGTAAATGCCAGTATTATTTCGCCTGGATGTCATTTTGCTACTATTCGTCTATATAATACAACCAATCACTTCTAAATATAGAAATTTGAAGAAATAGTAGCTATCGAATTGACCAATTAATCAACCCTAAAAATGATTTCAATGTTTTAAGAAAATGAGATTTTAAGTGCAATGGTATAGATTCAGTTTAATAGATGCGTCAGAATAATAATATTTTTTCTCGTTAATTTACCAAAAAAAAAAAAAAAGACGCGATATTCGCTATTTGATTTTAAAATATTTTGCTCGTCTCGCTTCGTCTTGACTCGATTCGAGTAAAAGAATCGATTCGAAGTCCTCAGTGTGGCTACGCCGCGCGTCGCCTGCCGTTTTACTCGTCACTAGCACAACATAAATACGGTATAAATTGCGACGCCATTTTGTAATGCATTTGTAGCTGTGGATGAGAGGTCAAATTCGGTAAAGACAGACAGCGCAGTTATAGGTAAAACAGTGCTGAGTGGTTATATTATTTGTGATATATGTCTGTTATTGTGAAATTGTGATTATAACAAACAATCAGGCAATGCTTGTGCTAAGATCTACGGTGAAGGCCCTAAAATAAATTAAATAGATGCAGGCAGGTGAGTTTAAACTTTCTTTTATTTTCAGTTGTAACTTCTACGTATATTATTTAAACGCTGGTTACGATTAAATTATGTAAGGCAGTTACATATTTTTAATTTTATGTGTTCTTCGCCGATGTGAACTTAATTTCTTTAACAATGAAGTCGGAGCTATTGTTTTGATACACGTTAAGTACCTATATTTATTTATTATAAACATAATATAGTTAATAAAAGTTTGTTAAATCGCAAAAGTTAGTAATTGTGTTCTTCTCCGCAAATGCTTACGAATATGTAATTTTTGTTTAATACTATAATTATTTTTGAATTAATTACATCCATAATTTAAGACGCAAAATAGGTAGGCATAATACTGTGAGTGTAGTGTATGTGGAGTAGTTACTTTGACTGTACCTACTAATAACTGTAAGAAAAAAATTTACTTTTAATAATGTACAACAGGTATCTGCTTACTTTTCTTCCTAATCTGTTTTATATATTTTTGCTTTGCAGAAGAAAATAACAGAAGAGTTGGAGTGGAAGAAGAATTTATAAAATTTCGACCGTCTCCCAATTTTAAAAATATGAAAAAATTTCTCAAACATCGTAGTGACTACACAGAGACAAAAACTCTTGTGTCTTCTACTGTTAACTGCTCCGAAATGCAGTTACAAACCCAACCTCAAACTAGGACCCAGACCCAGGTCCAACCACGCTCTCAGCCTCAGACACGGTTGCAAACCCAAAAAATGGAACACAAAAAAGAAGAAGTGAAGCCAGCGATAGTGCAACCACCCCTACCACCATATCCACCACCTCCAGACAGCCCCAAACTTCTTAACATAAAGATTAAAGAAGAGAAAATTGATGATGAAGTACCAAATAATGAAGAGTGTATGGATTCCTTAAGCCAATCTATGGAACAAGTTCAACCTGAAACTAACCCTAAGGAAGAACGACCAAAGAAAACAATATGTAAGGAATTTATTAGAGGCAACTGTAAACGTCCTGTATGTAAGTTTGCCCATGAGGTTGACGTTTCTCAACTGGCTGGAGTGTTTACATTTTGTTGGAATTATCAAAATGCTGTATGTACTTATCCTAACTGCCGCTTTGTACATGCAACTGTATTTGAAGAAGCAGAATTCTACCGTACTGGTGTTTTGCCTCCTCATGCTAGAAGTCACCTCAAAAAGCAAGCACCGCCTCCACCTCCACCACCAGAAGGTAAATGAATGCTGATCTTTTAGGATGTAGAATTTATGTTACATTTAAAAATATCTCAAAATTTTATTTACCTCTTATTTCAGAAACACAGCATGACATGCCTCCTTTTGCAAATCCTCCACCACCTCTTCAGCCTGGGTAAGTCAAACTACTGTATGTTCACATATAGTACATGAACTAATTTTGACAAATTATATTTTTTGCAGTTTAGATTTTCATGGTGTATTAATCTTCGTCTCTTAAATATTTTCAGGGTTGATAAGCCCCTCATATCTTGCATCCTAGCTCCTTCAATGGAGGAAAGACCCATCATTGAAGATTATAGGGTTGCCCTACCACGCAGTATTTCCCCTCTTAAGAGAGAATGGTGTGATATGGACGACTGTAAGTATCTCTCATGCACTTTGAGTGTTTGATATTCTTTTTTTTTTTCTTTTCTTTGTATTGATTGGAAACAAGCAGGTATGCAAGCTGTGAATGAAGTAGCCCTAAATTGGTGAAGGTATCCATTGTTACCTGCAATAAAGATTCTTACCTGTATAATAAAAAGAACTTCTCACTTGCATATGCCAGTTTAGTTTCAAAAAAGGGCACAATCAGGTAGATCTATCTACCTGCAAAAATTAGGTCCATTTTAAAACAGTTATACCCAATATGTGATTTTGTACATTGAAAAGCATAGCTTCAATAAATTGTTGATTGACCATGTTAAAACATGACCTATATTGAAACTGAGCTATATGTTAATTATATGTACATTTTAAGTATTTTATAAATAATGCATTATACCACAATTTATGTATATGATGTGTTTTGGGCGTGTATCATATTATGAGAATTGAATGAAAACTGATGCTTTTGTATGTAAAAAATATTGTTCATGGATGTGATATTTTTACTATGAGTTCATCTATTATTATGCTGAGACTTATTTAGTTGATACTAATGCTTACTTCACTAAGTAAATGACAATGAATTTATTTTTAATTATCTAATGTGAGCCATTAACATAATGCCCACGCATGAATTAATGATTGTAATTAGCAGAAGTTGTGTTTTTATAAATTTTTAAACTTCGTGTGTTCAAAGTGAATGTCGATTCTTTAGCGCATTTTTTAAAACTAATTTAGCCAGACAAATTTTTCTGATATCCACTATTTTAGTGTATTTTTAAACAGTCCAGGAAAAAGATTTTGAAAATGATGTCATGATATAATAAATTTAGATTTTATATCATAAAAAGCAGAATCGACGCCTGATACAATGGTTTTAGAAGAATTTTCACATGCTCAAGCGCTTTCTGGATCAGTGCGAAAAATTACATTTACAGTTTGCACTATTTAAAATTGCTAAGTATTGCAATCATATATTGAACATATGCGACTATATTGGCTAATGCACTGAAAATTACTGCATTATCTTATTTCATCATAATTGGCCCCAACTGAAATAAAATGATGCAATATACAGCATATGACGAAAATACATGCATACAAACTGACAGTTCTTATATACATGCACTTACATGCGTGCTACACGCCATGCTGGCTTTGCTAATAGTCGGTAGTTGCAATGCAGTTGGATGCAGCTCATGTGACTACAATATTAATGTATCTCAGTGGAACTACAAAACAATGAACGGATTTTAATTTGATGTTTTGAAGAGTGTAGATTAAAGTCACGACTAGATTTGGGCGTCGTACGATAAAATAGCCAAAGCTGTCGCACGCGAATACGCACGGGGGTTATCGCACTGACATGTAAATTATATTAATTAGAAACCTGTTATTTTAATATTTTTTTATTTAATCAGGTCATGCCTAGCGATTGTTTATTATAGCTTAATGATTTTGTCTCCAGTCAGCAGCTCGCCGCGCGACCTTGAGTCCAATGAAAATGTGGCGAAAAAATGCAATACATGTGAGATAATGGAGTTCAGGTATATCGCATTTAAGATTTGTTTTAATAACTATGTATTATGTATACAGGATGTAATGGTAAGGGGACCGAAAAATTTAACAGTGCCACTAAAACTTTTATATTGAGATTTAGAGTAAAAGTTCCAAAGTTATTTCGTCCTAATTTAGAATTATGGTAAAATTTTCGGTTCTTTCTACCTTAATCCATGTGCTAAATACGCTTGGAAGTTACAACTACTAAGATTAAGCGAATGGAAAAAATACTACTACGCTTTAGTTTTATTAATTATTTAATGAATTCGTTCTGTCTAACGGCGTTTTTCTTTATATGTAGTTGTCACTTTCATTTTTGCAGCCTAGATTTTTATAAATACACAATTTATTTTTGCTACAACGAATTATCTATTTCTCGTTTTCCAGTTCTGTGACGGATTGATTGTTTGTAACCTTTTAATGATTATAATTGATTCGTAATTTAATTGTATTCGAAACAATTCCATTGCGCATTGCCGTGCGCTTTGTTAGGTTTTATTGCGATGTTGTTTGGCTTTTTCCAGATTCTTAACTCGCATTCAAAATTGCTAAATTATGGCGCGCTTAATATAAACATCATGGTTAACCTTAAGCATTAAGATAAGATTTCTTTTGTGAATTTTATCGTGTACTGTAGTTGACGTATTTACCCAGTTGAAAGCTAATTGAAAGTACATTACCGCGATGTCATAAAGTTCTTCGCAGGTGCAGCGATTTTTTCATGATCCATATTAAATTTGTATTGCATCAAAATTAATTTATATGGCGCATTGCCGTGCGCCTTGTTCACTTAACTGCGATATTGACAGTGGTGTTTAACATTCTCTAAGTGTTGTGTTCTTTATTTAAAACGTTAAATTATTTAACACTATTCCATAAACAATTTGATTAACCCATTGGTTTAAAATTATAAGGAATATTTTGTGTACCGCCTGCGTCAAAATTCTGCGTTTGACGTGAAATGCTACTCGAAAGCGATTGAAAGTAATCACGAATACCTAAACTTTCATTTAACGGCTGATTCTTGAAAAGCTCAAACTGGCCACTGCTCTGCATGCTTACATATCGACTCCTAATACTTTATCGTAAGCCACAAAAATTTTATAAATCACTTTTTTATGTAGGTCTATTATACGCAGCAGTGAAATTATAAAGTGTGGAAAATAATGAATATGTTTCAAATTTAATTGCAAAACTTTGATAATCGCATATATTTACGTATTAAAAGAACAAAAAGGACCATATCATTTTAGTTATATTCTCATGTAAAGTTGTGAATTTGGGCTTATGATTCTTTACGTAGTGTATTTAGTATTATTTAAAAAAAATCTATAACAAATTCATTTCCCAGTAACCATAGTTGAAGACCGAAAACGATATCGACATTTACGAAGTTCGTAAGCTTTGTTCGATTTTCCATATGAGTACATTATACATAATATAGTCCCTTGATCTTGACTTAAAATCAGAAATAACGAAGACCTTTTCGACTCGATTTTTGAGGATGTTAATATTAAACAAGAATTTCATAAAATGATAAAATGGGAGTTAATCTCTGATTGTAAACGCGTTTACGGAATGATAAAGCGACGGCGGCATGGTGTACCACTTACATGTGTTATAACATAGACACGACTCCTCGAGATACAATAGCGGTCGATGACGTACCACTTTTAACCTGACTTTTTATGCTTCTACAAACTGGCGAATCAAGATTACGGGATTAATCTATCATTTGTGTTCTGTTACAATCTTAATAAGGCAAACATCAAATCTGGTTCAGTATGCATATGCGATATGATTGCCAATGAATAAAGTGTGCAAATCGCAAAATTGTGTAATGAAGTAACTGTACTCTTTCAGATTACAGTACAATAAGCAGAAGGTAACAAATATGATCCACTCTTCGGAGGAAATTAATAAAAAAATGGCGCAGCTGACCAAGAAAACGAACAAGCTGTCCAACGTGCTACTTACCTTAATCAAGCCTTCGGTAAATAAATGATCAAACAACGTCAAATAATAATCAAATATGGAGGGCAATAAGATCTCGTCGTAACTTAATGTATGTTGCAGTTGCAGACATCTAAAGGAGGCGCAAACAATGGTTTTGTCGGCAACGAGAAAGATAAAGTAAGATTTTTGAAATAATGCATGTGTTTATCAATTATTTATCGCCAATAGATACTAGATACTATGCGCAACGTTGATGCCTTCCCAGTCCTAAAACAGTTGTTTGCAAATGAGATTGTAGACCTCGTCCACAGTTTTATAGAACATTGTTTTTGTGAAAACCTTTAATTTGCAATACTAACAAAAATTTTATAAGTAAAAGAACAGGTAGATATGTTCACCGCAACTAGCGCTTACAAATGGCACCACAATGAATCATCGCGTTAATAGTAACGAGAACGCCACATTACCCTTTGGCGAATAGTAATAAATCAGAAATGAGTCGTCTCACAATGACACTTGTCTATTTAGGCATGGCAATTTATGGTGAAAATAGGCGGGCGAGACTTCAATTTTCTTCTCGCCTCGCCGATGGAAAACCACCTTCAGAGGCCTGGAGAATTCGTGTGTAAATCACCTATATTTTATCTATATTTATAAAATTCTATAATTTTAGGCGGTACTGGAACAGCTCACCAACTTCGCGAGCTCCAACAATAGACTTACATCGATGATCAATGAAGACAATGTAAAGGTACTTTTTACTAGTTTTCTTTTTAAATAAATATTTATTGACCTTAAAAATATTTATAAGAGCTAATTAAAACAAACTTTTTTATTATTTTCATAAAACTTATTGCAGTGCTGAAAGGTTTGCTATTTCTATCAAATATCCCAAGGTTGTATGCTTATTGTAAATTGACTATTTGGCGTAATGTAATGTTTATTTCTTTATTTACAGACCATATTTAGTTCAAACAGTAACTTGACCTCTCTCATGGCTAAATTGCTGTATGCTAACGGTGACCAGAGTACTCCACCGGACAACTCCAGAGACACGTAACTGTGTCGAGCCCGTGGATAGGATGTTTGCCACGCCCGATAGTGTAAGTTTTATTTCGGTGCAGAATACTGTACAAAAACTTTCGTAAACTGGGTGAACGTTCAAGGAATAGAAAATGTAACTGCATAACGCATAAACGTAATAGATGTCGTTGAAGCACTTCTGTTTACATTCTGCAAATATATATACTTTTTCAATGAAAGTCGACCGTTTGAAAAACGAATTTTGTGATGGAAGCCTTCTACACTTGATCGCCTTGATCGTCTTTTCCGCCAACAACAGCCGATTGACATTATAATAATAATATTATGATAAAACAATATTATACAGTACGATTTTTAACTGGAGCTATGGGGAAATCCGAAACCATATGATATACAGGGAAATGTCTTAGGAACTATTTGGACTTTTTTTACCTGGATACAGTAAATTTTTTGGTTTTGAAAAAACATTGTATTAAATTTGTCTTACTAATGCTGTCCTAATTTTTTCTTAGGACATAAGATGAATGAATGGGATGATCTTTACAAGAAACTGAGTCGATAAGCATTAAAAAAAGTGAACTCACCCTTGACCAAAAAATTTACTATGTCAAAATAGTTTTGACAAAGTGACCAAATGGTTCTTAACACAGTGATTGAGGACAGTGAGTTATAAGTTTTTATTTTAATACTTTTGTTTGTTTTAATATTTTTAATACTTTGATGGCAATGATCTATTGCGCTTATTCGTACGCAGTTTATTCTTATGATCTACATTAACTACCTCCCTATATTAATGTGTTAGTGTATGGACATTAAATTGACCGAGTAGGATCGACATTGGTTGTAATAAATCGTATATCAGACGTGCACAAATCAGGCGTACTTTATGTATATACGGATTGAATAAATTCAAATGTATTTTGTGTATGGGATAATGAGTTATAAGCATTTTTCTTTGCGATGCTTAGAGACCAAACTGTATATTTAAAAAACAGCAATAAGGTGTGTAATTCATAGGTTATGTAATAATATAATAGTCACGCGTATAAGCAAACATACGCCTACCACTAAGTCTTAAGTTTAACAACGACGCATTTTCACATAATTTTAACTCTATTATACAAGAAGAATATTGTCATTGACCCAAATTTTAATATTGTATTTTTATAGCCTACATAAAGATAAATTTAAATAGATGTACTTTAATTTAATTAGATAAATAGTTATAAGCTTATTTTATAAAATTTACACATTAATGTTTTGTACATTATGGACATTGCTTATCAATCGTCGCTTCATTCAGTCAGTAGCAATTTTCAATACAAATATTCTTATACAGTCTTCCATAATTAATCCTAGCATAATTTTAAAAGATTTTTATTTCTTTAGGGATAGAAACAGCTCATCTATTGTAATATGTAAAGATGTGGTGTCGGAGATTGTACAGTTAAACCCTCATGGGATTATCTGAATATTTGTATAAAACCAGGATCGAAAATGTTTTCGTTTAAAATTAATTAAATTATTTCATGACAAAAATGAGCACAAATTAATATTTCAAAATACAATTAAAACTCTAATAGACAAACAAAACAAATTTGACAGAAATGTCAAACGGCAATTGAGACCATTTTCGTTTACTGTCGATAAGGATACGCTCTATTTAAAGCAACACTGATCGGGGCAGCCAATGACATGATCAGCATCGCAAAGCATTGGCGATGACGCAAGCGTATTGTATATACATTTTTACTATTCGTAGATACCCAAAACATTTTACATATCACCTCTTCTCACACACACGTCTCATCAAGTGGTATATCCCAAATTCGAACACAACTTTGAAACGGAATTAATATGACGCCAATCGTTATAGCGTGAATTAAAGATTTAATATTAGTACACAAATAACGGCAAATTTAATTTGGATTTAGCTTTAGTTCGTGTTCCACTTGCGATTTCGCGATATGCAGTTATTAGTAAGCACATTGGACACTGCGAATACCTCCGTAGCTGTTGCCAATGTATACATATAAATTCGCGTATCGTCTGCCTATAAATTTATGTATACAATAGCATATAGTAGAGGTAATACCCGCTGTGTTAATTTCAAAACTCTTCCGTCCAAGTACTGTGCCCTGAATTATAATACCCTTAAATACGGGCAGTGGCTTAGATCTTAACAGCTGGGAATGCTTTTTACATTAAAACATAATGATAAAAGCACTTGTACCGAATTAGTATTGCTTGTAATAATTATTTACAAGCAATACAATTAGTAATTATTATTACTTTTATTATTATTAGAGTATTTACATAATCAGTAGAGCTTGGTACTTTATTCCCAGAAAAATTAAATCAGCCTCAATTTTTTTGCTAGATAGAAGCTTGAAATAAAGAGCTTAGCAAACTAATTAAAAAAAATAATGTGATTTTTTATTTATTTATTTAAAACAAAAGTGTGGTAGATATGTTAAATTAATTCCAGCAACACTGCGATACTTAAAAAAATCTAAAAAAGCAGCAACACTTAAACGCTAAAATATTCAAAATCATAATTGTAATTGGTTAATTAAATTGCAACAAGAATGACTGACATTTGATGTGTCTATTTTATTTTATGTCATTTTCCACTGGCCCTATAGCAAAAAAATTACATAAAAATCCGTTCCGTTTCGTGGGATTGCGTTCCGTTTTACTTTACATACTATGAAAAATCCCTAATGATTTTCTGGAAATTGCAGATCAAAAATAATTTATATTTAATTCAGATTTTCTAGATTTTGAGAGCTCTTTACAAAAAACCAACTAATAGCTTGGTTAAAGGATCCATCACTTCTTTCATACAACTTTGCCCAAAACATGT